ATTTTTTTTATTTTTATAATTATTTTATGCAGAAAATTGTTTTCAATTGTACCAGAAAAACTTTTACGATCCAAGTTCTAGGGTTTCGTTCAGATTCTATCATCACACTAAGAACAAAAAAACGATGCAATTTGAAACGAAAAAAAAAACTTTGTTAGAAGTTTTTTCACAATATGGTCGGAACACTCTGTGCTACATGCACAGCAACCGGCTATCGTTGTTTATTCTTGTTAACTCTAACTTACTTTAGTACGCATAAACCATTTGATGTCACGTATGCAGATATAAATATAAATAAAAATGTCGAAAGAAAAAATGGATTATTTCATTAGATTGCACGGACGAAGTGACCAATCTCGCCCAAAACTGATTTAGGGGGAGAGAGTTTACTTGGTTGATAAAAAAACTTTTCATCCGATCAGATTTGTTCAAACTACAAGCAGGTCTTAAGGCTTGAACTTGCCCTTTAATTTTAGAGAGGATTGTTCACTTGGGACAAGTGCACTTTTTCTGATCAAAGGAAAATAAAAGTCCCAAGAAATTCAATTGATAATTACAATACAAAAACATTTGACGTTCGAATTTCACGGAAAATTGTTTTGTTCATCTATATGAACGAGCCTTGTTCGACTGAAAAACTTTTCTGCAATGTTTGAGTTTACTTACGTCCATTCAAAAAACAACAAAAACTGTGTTTGTCTGACCGCAACTTTTGTCTGCAAAGTCATGATAGCTGTCTATTTGAAAAGCCAGATTTCCTCATCTGCACATCTGCCATCATGATGAAGAAATCTGGCATATTATGACAAAGATTACATTGGTAAGTCTATAAAACCAAATTGTGATAACTTTATAGAAGTTAGCTCTGATCTTTGTCTACGTCAAAACTTAGCTGAAATGCGAAATGTAACAAATGAAAATTGAAAACAGCGTTTTAGAGAGTAAAAATTTAATTTTAATTAAGTCTTATTTTCATTGAATTTTAATTGTTCAGTTTTTAAAATTGAGTTTTAATCGAATTAGTGGACAAAAGTTAATTTTGTCCGCAAGTATATGTTTATTTTATGCCAAATTTTGTTTGCGATTTCCATACCGGCTGATTTTTGTGTCTCACTATATGTAATAAAGGTTGCCTTTTAGGACAAGCATTATTTCATAAATGAAAATTTTATAAAGAGGTGAAGCTGAGCTTTACAACACTTGCAAAACAACACAAGAAACTTCGAAAATTTTGAAAAAACCAGATCTATCAGAATGAATAAGACTAATTTGCAAAAAAAAACATGCCAAGACTAGAGTGTGAAATTAGCATCGGAAGCTAACTTACCCGTCAGTAACAAAGCCGAAAATACTTTGGCAGATACCCTTTAGCCGAAACAAATTAAGAAGACATAAAACTTATGAAAAGTTATTACGTCTCCTCAAATGCTGCTCGTCAAATGAAACAATATGAGGCTACTAAGCCGATATTTAAAAAAAACCTGATAAGACAAAAAAGAAGAAAAAGGCCAGAAAAAGAAGTTATTACGTTCACCTCGCACTCAAAAAACCAACACGCTCACACAAATTTGTTTTGCTCCTCGAAAGACGCAATATGAGGCCAATAAACCACTATACTATAGACTGAAAACTATCAAGCCGAAAAAAGGAGAAAACAAAAAAGCCGAAAAAAATTGTAACGACTCGAAGTTAAGTCACTAAACCGATAAAAATTAGGCCAAAACTATTAGTGCAAAACAAAATTTTTGAGCGAGAAGAGGCGAAAACAAAAAAGTAATTAGATTAAATCGGGGTTAAACAAATTACAAACAGCAGATGTAAATCAGAGTTAAAAGCAACTATGATCAAAAAAAAAATTTTTAGAATACAATTCTTTAATATAGCAATTAAGCATAATATGAGCACCCCATTACATTACCTTCGCTTATTGCAAGAATAGTGATAAGCAATTTTGCCTAGATCAAAAAACTAGTATTACACGATTTTTGCTAAATGTATCTAAGTTTTGTCCGATAACACAATAACCAAAGCTTTCCTTACACAAGAAATCCCATTGATTGAGGGGAAAATATTTTCCAGGTATTCGCATTCGAGGAGTTATTGTATGAGATAAAAGTTCATAGTTCACTCAAAACTCTGAATAAAACACAAATACAAAAATTTGAGGGTTTTTTTTTCAGTTTGTCTAACAAAATTTTAGTCCAAAACTGTACTTCTCCCAAAAGTGGCCTGATTTTGTGATAAATTGAAATATATAACAATATAGGTGAATTAAAAATTTCAAGCTTGAATTTGCATAAAAATCCTGAGTCAATTTAGTTTTTTTATACGAAAAATTCAGCCTGGACTACAGTACTGATTTAAATCAATAGGACACAGCAAACAACAAAAGTAAGCTTAAACGCATTTTTTTTTCAAATTGGGTTAAAATTCGACAAACAGTGATGGCAAAAAGTCAGAAAAAAACTGCTTAGAAATTCACCAGAATTAATTCAGTGCAACTTATCTTCGAAACTCTCACCCAAAATTTTACTCCAAAAATGGGTCATTTTGGTTTTTGCAATTAATCAAAAATTCATTTAAAACTACCGCAATAATTGATGAAATGAAGCTTCTAACACTGCCCAACAAAGTTCTAGAAGAATAAAATCTATGAGAAAAAAGGGTATAAGAGGACAAATTTGTGTTTGATGCCCGAAAAAGGTCACTACTAAATAAAACTCAAAATCTTTGCTTATAAGCAAACTGTAAATGTTTTGATTACAATTTTTGCTGTTTGTCCCTTCTAAATCTTTGTTAGGCAGTGTAAGAGGTTTCTTTTGATTAAGCATTCTCATCAATTTTACTTGGTAGTTTTATCGTAAATTTTTATTAATAAAAAAAAGCCAAAATGACCCAGTTTTGGGGAAAAGGTTTGATTGAGAATTTCTAAGAAACAATTGCAACATATCAATTTAAATGAAAGCTTATGCAATTTATGTTTCCTTCAATTTTTCTCTAATTACAATTCAAAATACGAGAAAAACGCGTTTGAAAGTTCAAGTTTTGATCGTGTTGTCCGGATAATTTAAACCAGCACTGTACGTTATAGACAAAAATTACTGACTCCTCATGTAACGAGAGCAAAACTGATAATGCTTTGCACTTTGCACTAAAAGTACAAAGGAGAACATGGATAGCCGGTTACTGCAAAAGTAGCACAGAATGTTCCGACCATAGTTATAGAAAATACAAAAAAGTTATTTTTTCAAATTAGAGTAGTTTTTTTTTGCTTGGTGTCATAAAAGAATCAGAAAAAAATATTAGAGCTTAAGCGCATTCAACAGACATAGTAAATTAGGCAAATTGCAACATTTTTGGTAGAAAAATGACTTGAAAAACAAAAACATCGAAAAAATCTAAAAATTTTTGTGTTTTTTGAAATTTTGACGTATTTGTTTCCAAAAAGACGCTAAAACACGAAAGTTCGGATCCCAACTGAAAAGGCCATAAAACTAAATATCACTCAAATATCTCCAATAAATATTTGTGGTAGCTGATTTTGCCTGGAAAAAAACTTAAACACACTCGAATACAAAGTTCCTCACCATTTGTAAAATGGTTGGAACAGTAATTCAGCACCCTATTAGTTGAAAGGATCTAATAAACAATATCTCTCCCCCTATGATATCTACTAAAGAATCTCCACTCCTTTAAAATAATACAGTAAATTAGCACTAGAGATTTACATTGAGAATTCTAATTTTGCTGCATTCTGATTGGTCGCAAAACTCGACTAACTTGATCTACTGAACAATCTCTCCCCCTTGTTAAGTAAATCCTAGTGATCAAACAATTATATCATGATATTTTCTAGATGAGTTGAAAATATTCATAGCAAACAATAATATATTTTACTGCAAATCCTTGAAAATGATTACATTAAGTGTAATTTTTTTCCGATTATTTTCAAATATATATATATTTTTATATACCTCTGCTAACTTTCCAAAAAAGTGTCAGATGCAATATTTTAAGCAAAATATTGCCTGTAGCAGAAAGAATTTTGCTAGATATAGTCATTCTGGGTTTTGCATAATGCTCAAAATGACTGACCTATAAAAAAGCCGTCATAACTTTTTTTTAAAAATTTGAAAATTATGTGGGGAGGGAGTGACGAAAATGGTAATCAATACGTTCATTAAAAGTGTATAAAATGACCCCAACTATAACTTGTGTAGATCATTTGATCATTCTCAACTACTGTTAAAGCACTCAAACACACTTGATGGCAAAGTTCCTGGGGATCTGGTTTGTGTAGTATTATAAACTATATCCATAAACTATATACAACAGTACATACCTAGGAACATGAATATGCCGAGAATGAAGAGCTCCTTCATGCTGGCATGGAGAGTGTGCCAGAGGATCTTGAGGCCGACTGAGTGGCGGGTGAGTTTGAACACTCGGAACACACGACACACTCGCACCACCCGCAGCAGACCAGTGGCCTGGTTGCTGCACAAACACACACAATATTTTATAATAATAATATAATAATAGTAATAATAATATAATAATAATAATATTTCAGTTCATAGGTAAGCAAACTGTAGTCAATATGGTGACCTGGACCAACTTAATAGTCAAGAATACTGCTTTGTATTTTCGATAAATTGTTTTTTTCCGCTCTTCTTTACCTGTCGCAAAACGTGAAAGATTGGGGATTTGTAAAATGGGCTTATAAATATAACTATCAACAAATTGAGTTCGGAAAAGTAACTGGCGGCGAACACTTTTGCACGCGACTAAGTCTCTCCAGCAGAATGTAAGGAGTCAGCGTTGCAACCCCCCCCCCCCCCCCCCCCCCCCATACTGTGAAGACTTGCCAATGCCGCGTGAATTTGATGTTTTAATGGTGTTTTCACATGATAAATACAATCCACTGCCTGATTTTAGTCTATTCCGGAACTTAAACTCTTCGGCTCTTTAATACCTTAAGCTTTAGAGTAATCTATTTTTCAAGGATAGATTTCATGTCGTTGCTCTGTATGTCGTGACACCTCAAAACAACCTTAAAATTTTTCAAAATAATCGTATTATCTTTTAAAGGAGAGATTACAAATATGAATTCTACATTCGTTCAAATAAAAAAAATGACTTGCTTGATTTTTCCTGATTTCCTGATAACACCAAGCTCCAGTGGTATCATATGCAAGCTAATTCTGTAGAAAAGATCTCTGGAGTTCGTGAATTTTGAAAAAAATTTGATGTCAAAAATCCGATGGTGTACAATTGCAAATATTTCAACACAAGGCAATATTTCCATTTTGTTTTTAGATTAGCAAGCAGCTTTGCAGAATCAACGGAAAATGCAGACTTTGAAGTAGCAGGTTTAGCCAAATTTGTTCTGGGTTTAATCGACTAAGGCGTTTTTGTTGATGCATCAATTTCAACAAAAGGTCACTGGATTTCAAAGTTTTTCCGTTCAGTTTTCTTGTCTCAGGGCTACAAAAAATATATTGAATTTTTTATCATTACATTCTTTAGGTTCATTAGCTGCCTCTTAAAACTAAAGCATAACTGTTATGAAATTTTTTCTTTAGTATTTCATTTTCTTTAACAGCTAGGCAAAAAGATATGAGCAACTGAGACAACTGTTTGAAATGTTAAACGCTCTTTGTAATGAAGTATTCGTTGAATTTTTGCGCCTACTTACGCACATAGGACAAAAAAAAATAAGATTTTTGGGACAAGAACTATTCCTTCTCTTTTCTTCCAAAACCGACATTTTTTAAGAGTCGATGAACGTAGTTCAGACTTTTGTATAGGTCGCGATGATTTTTTTTTTCGTTTTTGTTTCAGGAAAAATCTTAAATTGCTCTGATAACGAAAGAATTGAATTCATACTTTTAAATGCACTTATGAATGCCCTCAAGACTATATGAACTTTTTGAGCTCAATTCAAGTTAGTGAAAGTTGTTATATGAAAGTTGTTGTATGAACAAAACTAGTTAATCTGAAGCCTGCATTCAATCAGCAGCAAAAGATCGTTCATACAGCAATAGAGCTGTAGAGGTCGTTTGAAAACATGTTTTAAAGTGAGAAACAACTGTTTTAGCATGTGAAAAAAGTGAAAAACAAGCATGAACACAAACTTTTTGTTGACCAAAGCATTTTCGCAACTGTTTTTTGACGCACTCATAAAATTTTATTAATACACTATCCTCGGGCCTGGTGGTTCTCTGATAATGATATATTTTCCTCGTGCGTAGAAAAAACAGTTGTAGCTAACTTTTTTTGAGTTAGACTCAATTTGAGAGAAGGTAGCTAGAAGGTAGGCAAAAGGCAATCTCCATTCATGAAAGTTGAAATAGCGCTAAACAACTCGATCAATGTCTAATTTTGAAGGTGGAATTTAGTTTTCAGATTTCTTAGCAAAATTACTTCTTTTTCTAGTAAACCCCTTTTTCTCAACTTGGGTTATTTTTATCGAAAAAAGCGAGCAAATATTACATTGATATTGAAATTCAAAGAGCATACAGGCCATATTGAAACTCAAAAGATGAAATTTTTTCAAAAATCAAGTCAACATTTTTTTCTGTTTTTTTTTGCGTTTATTGGCTCCTTTCCAACAGTGTTTTGGCTATGTTTGTCTTTGCTGTTGTACATCTGTTATACACTCCATCACCATTATCTTTTTTCAGACAATTGTGAGCGTTTAACTTTCTTTTGAGTTAGACACAAATTGAGCTACACACATTTCTTAATGTATGTGTCTCAAATGTTGGGTCTAATGCGGATAATTATGTCAAAAATGGATTTGTTTTTACGTTTATTGGCTTCTTTCCAACAGTGTTTTGGCTATGTTTGTCTTTGCTGTTGTACATATGTTATACACTCCATCACCATTATCTTTTTTCAGACAATTATGAGCGTTTAGCTTTTTTTGAGTTAGACTCAATTTGAGACACACACATTTCTCTATGTGTGTCTCAAATGTCAGGTCTAATGCGGATAATTCTGTCAAAAATACTTTAACACTCAAACTTGTCAAGAAAAAAGGAAAATGGAGATATACAAATTATTAGAGATTTCATTTTTTTTGTTGGATGTTCTTGTGTGGTTTTATTTGGGAATACCATTAGACATCAGTGTCCAAGATAACCAGTAAAAAACCAAAGATTTCCCACCAATTACCTCTTTTGTAGAAAAAGGTGAGCATTTTTTTAGTAGATTATTTGATCAAAATTAGTATGCTTCTCACCGATCAAAAAGCAAAAAGATCAAATTTCATAAATCTAGAGAGTTTAAAATGAAACCGCAATTACTTTTAGCAAACAAATAGATTTTCAAGAAGGAACATAGCTAACAGAAAAATGAAAAAGTCAATGAACGCAAGTAAACAGAAAAAAAAAACGCTGACTTCTTTTATGAAAAAATCTCCGCTTTCGTACTTTAAAAAAAAATAGATGCACTCTACGCTTGTTGAATTTTGAAATCAATTTACAAAATTTTCCCAAATTGAGAAAACGGTATCAAAAAATAAAATTTTAATTTCGCTGGAAAATCTAAAAATTTAGTTCCGCTCAAGAAACTAGAAGTCTAATGCGGATAATTATGTCAAAAATACTTTAACACTCAAACTTGTCAAGAAAAAAGGAAACTGGAGATATACAAATTATTAGAGATTTCCATTTTTTTTGTTGGATGTTCTTGTGTGGTTTTATTTGGGAATACCATTAGACATCAGTGTCCAAGATAACCAGTAAAAAATCTAAGATTTCCCACCAATTACCTCTTATTTGATCAAAATTAGTAAGCTTCTCACCGATCAAAAAGCAAAAAGATCAAATTTCATAAGTCTAGAGAGTTCAAAATGAAACCGCAATTACTTTTAGCAAATAAATAGAGTTTCAAGGAGGAACATAGTTAACAGAAAAATGAAAAAAGTCAAGGAACGCAAGTATGCAGAAAAAAATAACGCTGACTTGTTTTATGAAAAAACCTGTTTTTTCGTACTTAAAAAAATAGATGCACTCTACGCTTTTTGAGAAAACGGTATCAAAAGGTAAAGTTTTAATTTCGCTGGAAAATCTAAAAATTAAGTTCCGCTCAAGAAACTAGAAGTTTAAGGAGGATAATTATATCAAAAATACTTTAACACTCAAACTTGTCAAGAAAAAAGGAAAATGGAGATATACAAATTATTAGAGATTTCATTTTTTTTGTTGGATGTTCTTGTGTGGTTTTATTTGGGAATACCATTAGACATCAGTGTCCAAGATAACCAGTAAAAAATCTAAGATTTCCCACCAATTACCTCTTATTTGATCAAAATTAGTAAGCTTCTCACCGATCAAAAAGCAAAAAGATCAAATTTCATAAGTCTAGAGAGTTCAAAATGAAACCGCAATTACTTTTAGCAAACAAATAGATTTTCAAGGAGGAACATAGCTAACAGAAAATTGAAAAAAGTCCGTGAACGCAAGTAAACAGAAAAGAAGGCTGACTTGATTTATGAAAAAATTTCTATTTTCGTACTTTAAAAAAAAATAGATGCACTCTACGCTTGATGAATTTTGAACTTAATTTACAAAATTTTACCAAATTGAGAAAACGGTATCAAAAAGTAAAATTTTATTTTCGCTGGAAAATCTAAAAATTATTAAGTTCCGCTCAAGAAACTAGAAGTCTAATGCGGATACTTATGTCAAAAATACTTTAACACTCAAACTTGTCAAGAAAAAAGGAAACTGGAGATATACAAATTATTAGAGATTTCAATTTTTTTTGTTGGATGTTCTTGTGTGGTTTTATTTGGGAATACCATTAGACATCAGTGTCCAAGATAACTAGTAAAAAATTAAAAATTTCCCACCAATTAGCTCTTATTTGATCAAAATTAGTAAGCTTCTCACCGATCAAAAAGCAAAAAGATCAAAATTCATAAGTCTAGAGAGTTCAAAATGAAACCGGAATTACTTTTAGCAAATGAATAGAGTTTCAAGGAGGAACATAGTTAACAGAAAATTGAAAAAAGTCAAGGAACGCAAGTATACAGAAAAAAAGAACGCTGACTTGTTTTATGAAAAAATCTATACTTTCGTACTTAAAAAAATAGATGCACTCTACGCTTTTTGAATTTTGAAATCAATTTACAAAATTTTACCAAATTGAGAAAACGGTATCAAAAGGTAAAGTTTTAATTTCGCTGGAAAATCTAAAAATTAAGTTCCGCTCAAGAAACTAGAAGTCTAATGCGGATAATTATGTCAAAAATATTTTAACACTCAAACTTGTCAAGAAAAAAGGAAACTGGAGATATACAAATTATTAGAGATTTCAATTTTTTTGTTGGATGTTCTTGTGTGGTTTTATTTGGGAATACCATTAGACATCAGTGTCCAAGATAATTAGTAAAAAATTAAAGATTTCCCACCAATTACCTCTTATTTGATCAAAATTAGTATGCTTCTCACCGATCAAAAAGCAAAAAAATCAAATTTCATAAGTCT